CCCCAAAACCCCAAAACCCCGCAATCAAGATAATCAATATCAATTCAAGATATAATTAAATCTATTCAAAAAATTAAGTATGCATTTAAGCATTTTAGTATTGTAAAATTGATACTATCTTTATCTCTTAGATATTATTTAACTTGTCAATTAAAAATCACAATCATTATTCTACTAAATCTTTCATTGAAATTTCTTGAGATAATCAGCATCATAAGCAACAGCATCTATATCATAGTACATATCTTAAACTCTTTCTCTCTGTAATTCCAATTAGCTAGTAACTGATTCATTGAATTGCGAAGTAGAACTATTAAATAGATTAGTGGTATCCTTAAGTGTTTGAGAATTAAGATTTGCTATTAATCCCTTATCTAAGTTTTTATCATATCTTGAAGGTAATTCGCTAAATCCATTGCCATAATTCTTACTGGCACTAGAATGTATAGATTACTTATCAATCTTTGTCTATCCATATTTTAAGGAAAATGAGTTGGAATCAAATGTATTTTGCTTTTTTAAGTATTGGTTAGAATTATTTCCTAGACCTGATAATTTCTAGTCATCTCTATAAATAACTTTCTTTCAATAAATTAAAAATTACCTAAATTACTTCTAAGAATCTTTAATTGGTGAGTACAAATCATCATCGTTATAAGAATAATTGAAATTATATGATGAATTTTCGTTTTCTTTACTAAAATCTTGAATATTTAGACCATGAGCAGTATTAAACTAATTCCAAACTGATGGATCTATCTTTACTTTATTTTCAGTTAATTCATATTTCTTTAACTAAGAAAGGTTGATTGAAAAATAAATTAATTACCTATGCAATTTTAGCTTTATTGCTGCACTTTTTATATTACTTTCTTAGACTTGATATAATATTTTGAATCGTTCCGATCAAAATATAAATAGTATTGACCAAAATCTAAAAAAGTGCTATGCCATTTAATGACCATCCCATATCATATTTGAGATAAGGATCATCAGTAAAATCTGAAAATACAATAATATGATAGACGCATATAACTATGCAAATCTCATTAAATATTTCCAATGTATTTTAGCTTTTCCCTTCAAAAGGCTTTACAAGGACTAAATAGTATAAGTTGAGTAAACTTGAAATCATCAATAGTTATATCTGTTAGACAGGGTAGTCATAAATTAATACTAATATGACAGCAGTGAAAATTCTTCTTCCCAGGAAAAAATTATGATAATTTAAAGCTAATATGCTATTAGTTTTCAATTCTTCAAATAAAGCTTGAAACTTGACTAATTTTGACTTATTTTCTTGTAATTATTCCTCTTAAATTTTCTTTGTAAGGTAAAGAGCATTGAAATTTAGAATTGACACTAATGCTATCAGCATTAAAAATGAGAAAATAAGTGAGACTAAATCTGCACTATTGGTAGATTAAGGCTAAATTAAATTATTCTATTTATTTTTACATTGTGAAAATCAAGAAGAATACATATTGAGAACTACAAAGATGCTTCGAGTATCAATCTAATAATTAATCCGTAGAAAATACTTTTCTTGACTTTTTCAAATAACGTAACTTTCCTTTATCATGAATAAAGATAATAGAAACTTACCGTTTTATTTTATTGAGAAAGCTATCTATAAAAAACACAACAGCATAAATAAATAAAATGATCCAGATATAGTAAAACAAGCTATCTAAGTTATCAATCCCATTTTACGTGTCGTATCTTGAAATAGTTAAGTCAAAATACAGCAAGCAAGAGCATTTAAAAGATATCATATTATTCGAACTGGAAATTGAGGGAGTTTGTACTTGAGTAGTCAAACAGTACATTGTCTATGAAAGAAAAGTCTATGAATTTGAAGTTAAACACTTTGTTCAGAACAAAAAATATTATTTGGGCATTAGCTGGGAAATTTGTGTTGATTAAACCTAAAATAATAACCAGTTGCAAAGAATTGATCATTCCCCAAATACTTTGCATAGAAGAAGAACTAATTATTGATGAATGATAAAATAGTAATTACAAAAATGTGTTAAACACAGAATTTCCAAATATTTAACCAGTCAGTATTCCAAGGATTGCATTACTAATCTAGCTTAGTAATTGAATATCTAAAAAATTAGGTTATCTATTTTACCTCCAGGTAATAATTATCTTTAAATACTTTTGCTTATCTCATAATTTTAACTGATGGTCTAAAATGATTGCTTATCAAAAAACAATTCATTCATCTTGAATATCACAATAAGATTATCATATCCCTGTACAATCCTTGATTAATATATATTTTTACATTTTAGGATACAAGCAAGGGCTTTTCAAAATCAAGCTAGATTTTCATAGTTCTCTCCTGCAGGAAAGTAATCTACCATTTGAAATTAATTTATTGACTTTCTCTTCTCGGGATCTTAACTGATAATTCTTTCTCTCCAAATTATGTTTAGTTACCTAGAATCATTATGGGCTTGCTGAATTAAATTGTTACTAACCCAGAACTAGTAATATACTTAATTTCAGCCCTAAGTTATGAAACATCAGGTCCTTTTTAGTTTCCTGGTCCTTAATTTGAAATAGTATTTTTTGCTACTTCAAATAAATATTCTTTATTTTCTTTTACAGCTTCAGGATTGCTTTAATTTAAAACAACAGATATGTATACATCCTATCTAAGATCAACAGGAACTCCACATCTAAGACTACAAGCTTTACCAGGATCATTAGGCTCAAAGTATTAGGCTTTAATATAAATATGATGATTTCCTATATGCTTTCCTTATGCATTTATCAAAAGACTATATGATCCTTGTATTTTAATAAAGTCACTATCTTAATAGCCAAAGTGCTTTTCATCAAAGTACAATCTAATTGGATTTATATAATCAATGAAAAACTGAGTCTAAAACTCAAACTTATACGGTTCATAACCTCCAGCAAAGACTGTTAGATAACGATCAGATACCTAAACAATTGAAAATTGTTATAATTACTTAAAAATCATCAAATACTAGCTTTTACCCTTATTTCAGCTCAGGGGAAACTATTATTTCAAATCTTAGTTAAGCCGTTACATTATATGATGCTTCTGTTATTGTTCCTAAAATCATAATTGACTAGTATTTATTACCTTCAAGTATTATTTAATATGATCCAATATATGAAGTGTCAGAAGTGTTCATATAGTAGATCAAATTATTTTCATAGAATTGTATTATTGGAGGTAGTGGTTAATTGTTTTAAGCAAGAAAGGTTTTATATCTAACAATTTTATCACATTGAGGTGATTGTATAAATGAATTCAAAACAAAGCCTAAAAATGGAACTTAATTTATGTAGTATTGATATTGCTTTGGTTACTTCTTATCTGGTATGAGTTCAAATACTTAGCAAATTATACTAATAGTGAGGAAAGCTGAAGCTGATTCATTATTGTATTTGTTGGTAGCTCGTATTTAAATCTAGTAAACTCCTACTTTTGAATAATCATTGGTAAAGACTTGAATAAATCTGGAGGTTTCACTAAAGTATATGTGACTTGTTTATGTTTATGAGGATATGACTTTTGCTTCATATGCAATGGGTCCACAACTATTAGGTAAAATACTAAAAGATGGAAAATATTGCTTCATAATGTCACTTCCTATAGAGTATTGCATGTCCTATAAATACTATGGAGACAATTTAGCCTTAACACATCTATTTAAGATTTTAATCTAAAAGTTAGTAAAAGTCTAGAAACTTCCGGCAATCGGTAATTTTCCAATTAATTAAAGCTTTAAAACCCCCTCTGAAGTATCATTATTTGTATATACAGTGAGATTAAGCAATTAAAATGTTGAGAACTGTAAAGCATAGGTGTTATAAGCACTTCCATCTTAATTTTGTAAAGAATATATTATAGTCTAAGCAGGATCAACATAAAAATTTGGAAGTATTAAAATCTATGCCGAATCTCCTATAATATACTCATAGTTAGGAATGCTGGAAGGTATAAGATCATTTACAGCAACTTTTAAGATTACCTGAAAATTTACTTAAGCTTACTAACCGTTTGTCAGTGTACCAACGACAGAGATATTGTATATCCCTTTGAGCGTTTAGTTAGTAGTTTCTATAGAAATATAAGGATTAGAAGTCTTTCTGTATATACTAAACGAAAGAAATTATTGTACATTATAAGGTCCTGAATTTTATACTAGTGAATAGCTAAAAGGCATATCATTGCATGATAATTAACTAGAAGATTCTAGACTTTAGAATTATGGTATTTAAAATTGCATTGCAGAATCTTCAATAAGATAGATCTAATCATTTACATTTGAAGTTGTAATTGTTAATTTACAGCATTCACATACTGCCTAATCTAAATAACTTTTTAAATTCTTTACCACAAGTAAATCTCTTGTAAAGTTGAATGTAAATAAAGAAGTTAAAGATTGAATTTATAACCATGTAGCTTTTTTAGTATAGTTGAGGGTCCCACTCTAATCAATATCTTCTATTACTTCAATGCAGGACTGACTGGTATTACTTATCATCAGATATCCTACAGAGTACGCATTACTATTTAAGCAGTCTGATAAACTTTAAATTTTTCCTGAATGGTAGTATTCTCCTTATTTTATTATTAATCCATCATATAATTGAAGATTTTAGTACATTCGATCAGTTATGTAGATTCTCTAATAAAGTACACTGTTTTCTTTGAAAAATAAATTCAGTATAAACACTCTCTTTAAGACTCCATCAAAACCCATTATTATAGTGTTTAGAGAACTAATTGCTTTTATGTCTGTGCAACTAGCAGATTTGTCTTAATCTATATAACTGTACTGTCTAATAATATTTGATTAGCTTTATATTACTGATTGATTTGAAGAGGGTAAATTAGAGTTAGAAGTTAAAGTTGTGCTATTTTTTGTTATACTAATCATTTGAATTATTTACAGACCTTCTAATTTAGAGGATATTCTAATTCCACAACCAAATAAATTTTCTGAGTCATTTGTGGGTATTGATATTTGCTAAATCTTAAATTGACCTGTTAATTCGTTGTAGTTTTATTAAATCCATGATTCACCTTTACTTTCATATTTTATTATAGCTGCTACCATTAAGTTAAAAGTTTCAACATTGCTGCCCTAAAAAATAAATATTAATAAATGATTTTACTATAGTAACTTGACGATTTAGATATAGTTGCCCACCAATATAGAACTCATTTTAATATCCTTTAATTAAGCAATTAGGGTAGATATCCAAATAGGTAAAAAATGAGCTTTCAATTTAAGTTTAATACTTATCTGTCATATTGAGATTAAATAAAGTTAATTTCTTGACAGAATTCGTAGCTGCAACTTATACCTAGATACCAGAAAAAGAAATAAAATCAGCATAGCCTCCTAGAAAATAATTGAACTGATCTTTTGCTGAAGCTATAAGATTACCGTTAGAAGAATCCAAAATGACTACTGTTAATGGATTAAGAAACAGAGAAATTATTCTTGTCGAATCTATATTAAACTGTATTTTTTTGAATTCCTACTTATTCGTCAAGATTTCTTTTACCCATTTATATGAGTATCCAGAACTAGGATATATAAGGAGGAAAGATTGGCCAGGAAAAGTCACAAAGGTGGGATCATTGGATCTTCCACCAACTGCAATATCTCCAGTTATTGAAGATACATCAATCACTTCAGTCCAAGTATCGTTGTTATTTGATTATATAAACTTTGGGAAGCTTTTACTAGCACATGTAGTAGTATAAATACTTATTGTCTCATTAACATGATCCAAAACAGCCTATCCATAAAGTAATCTCATTTGTTCTTAATGCAGATCATTCCCAAGTTGAATTTACTGGTATTTATTTTTAAGCACTTCCTTATTTGAGTGGGGTTAAATTTGAAATGCGATAACAATTGTTGCAAAGATGAATCTAAAAGATTTGAACTAGATTTTGTTAATACA